GTTCTCTTCAGTGCAAATTCAGTGGTATCTGCGGGTTTGGCTGTACATCACAGCTTTTTGGTGTGTTTAGGGTGATTGCTGGCTCTGTGCAGATATGTATGTTGGTCTGAGGGTTTCTTGTATACTGTGGTCTGTATTTTATCATTCTGGATACTGATCATTGTGTTTAAAAAGGAGATGTTGGTGCTGGAGTATTCAAGAGATAGTCGGATGGAGGGATGGCGATTGCTGAATTTCTAATGGAACTCAATCAGAGATTGAAGGTTTTCAGTCCAAATGATGAAGATGTCATCTGTATTGCTGTTTTGGAAGAAGGGGTTCTGTTGGTTTCTGAGGGTTCATCACATGATGTAATGATATAGATGGCTTCATGTCAGGAAGGGAAGTGCACGTAACTGTTACATTTTAAAAACCCACTGGCCTCCTGTATGCATCAGATTCAAAGTTTAATATTTATTTTAATGAATGCCCTATCATTTATCTCCTGGGTGACTCTCAGCAGTCCCCTGGAGAGATCTATCTCATTCCTGGAGACTTGTGGGAAATCCTTGACGTTTGGCAACAGTACCACAAATGACCCCTCCATTTTTAAAATTAATTTTTACATGGCTTGGGTTAAAATTGCATGTGGCTTTCCCACTAGATAAGATAAGGGGTGAGATTGAGGCCTGATGGCCTGCTTCCTTTAAGGCATGTATGAGTGGCAGGCAAAGACTATTTCTCCTTGCTGGCCCGAGCTCCTCACTGCCTCTCATTGAGGGAACAGGGTGTGGGGTTGTTTTCATCTTTATCTCATCAGATCCATCTTCAAGTTGTGTTTTTTCATATTTGTAAATGCCACAGGGATGCAGGTAAAGGCAAGGAAAAATGAAGCTCAGTGGAAGCAGATGATAGCTCTTGCAGGTGTTGCTGGCTGATGGGAGTACACTGACTGCATTCAGGCTGCTGCACTAACCGCTAGATTGGAGAAGGATCAGCATTTTCCTGTTTCTCCCTCCACCGCATCGGACATTTAATATGCGGCTTCAGACCTGGCCCTCTTTCCTTTTTTTAACTTTAGGGATGTGTCCTTGATCAAATGAAAAAGCCACATTATTGGATCTCTCTCCCCTTCTCTTCTTCCTTCTAAGTTTTGCTTTCTAATGTTTTTCCTGGTTTTCATTTTGTTCAGTCGCTTGGAAGGTTTGGATACAGCTGAGCTGTTTTGAGCCATTGCTTTTCGGTGGTTATTCTGGGCCTTTCATTCCT